TCTCCCTCTCCCACTCCTCCTGCTTGTGTTCCCTCTCTCGCTGTGTCTCTCTCTGTCAAGTAAATAAATAAAGTCTTTAAAAAAAAAAAAATCACTGCATATTTTTTAGTAATAGTGTATCAATAACTTTATTTAACTTAGTATTGATTGTGCTGGACATTGTGTTAAAAGCCTCTCTAGAGCCTCTATATAGCCTCTGCAGGTGGACTTTGGCATGTGAAATTAAAACCACTCTAAAAACCTGGGTGACAAGGAAATTTTCCTCACAAAAGGAAACATTTCTAGGAAGTTTGACTTATGGCTACTGTATCTAATGGATTTTCTTTAAAAATCAATCCATACCTTAGTTTTTTTTATTCCTACTAGTCTTATCCATACATTTTTTCTTATATAATATTTAGAGATGACTACTGCTTACCAGCTATGAAGTCTAATGATACTTCCTCATTTACAAGCAAGCAAAATTATTACTGTCATGGCTACAAATGACCCCTCTTCCAGCCAGGATAATTTTGCAGACCTTTTACCATTTATCCATGTAAGTATCTTCACCAGAAAAGAAACCTTGGTATCGTTTTCAGCCCCTACTCACTGTGAAATAATTTATATTTGTTTAGTGTTTTGTAGGTTACTGATCATTTTTATTAGTTACCTCATTTGATCCTTACAAAAGTGTTACAGGTTAAGAGTTGTCGTTAACACTTACTTTACTCCTGAGCAAACTGAGATTCAAAAATCTTGAGATTTTTTTCAAGGTGGCACAGCTAGCAAATGAGACAAGTTGAGGGTCCAACTACGGTTTTTTTCCTTCCAGATTTCATATGTTTTTTTCTTGATTCCATTCTGCCCTTCTAGTCTGATTCAAGGAACTTATTTTACATAGGGTAGACTATCCATTAAATTAGTATGCCGAAAAGGGTCTTCTTCTTGTAAGCATGTCTTTGAAAAACTTCTGAGTGGAAAGTAAGTTGGCAAACCTTTTATACATCTACATCCTTCCCCCAACCTGTTTGAATTAGAGCTCAAAACTTTACCTTATGGTTTTGTAGAGAGCCCTTGATTGAGTTTAGTTGCGTTAACTAGAGAAAATACATAAAGATCTGTAATGAATACCAATAACCTTGTTAATCCCTGGAAAGCAAACGGACCCCATAGCACCTTGTATCCCGTGTATCTTTGTTTCCTTTAGGAACTCTGTTGATTTTCAGTCTGCCGACTTTGACCCTATTTGATTGGTCAGGCCTCTGCTCTTGCAATTGGGTGACCATGCATACCTCTAATGAATACCAGCTGTGTTTTATTATCTCTCATCCTAAAGTAAAAATAACCCTTGGGAAGTACTATTTGATGCATGGGTGTTCCATAAATATTTGCATAAATGAGTTATCCCTATTTTGCAGAAAAAGAAGATAATACTGAGATTAAGAATTGTCTAAAATCTTCTAGATGGAAAGTCATAGAGTTGGTATTTAAATCCCGCTTTTACTTTTTTTTTTTAAGATTTTATTTATTTATTTGACACAGAGAGAGAGAGAGCGAGAGCAGGAACGCAAGCAGGGGGAGTGGGAGAGGGAGAAACAGGCTTCCTGCCAAGCGGGGAGCCCGATGTGGAGCTCGATCCCGGGACCCTGGGATCATGACCTGAGCCGAAGGCAGACGCTTAACGACTGAGCCACCCAGGCGCCCCATAAATCCCGCTTTTACTTTAAAGTGTGCCCCCTTTCTACTAGGCAGGTCGTGATACCTGTATGTGCACAGTGCACTGTGATGTGATCTTGTGTTTTGAATTTCTTACCTGGCCACTAAAAAACATTTGCATCACCTTCTGATCCTTTATAGGAATATAACACATTTGACAGATGATTATTGTAACATGAACAATTGTAAAAGAACTTTACAAGAGTAGGTGGTACATTATGAATATAAAAACTTTATAAATAATATAAATGGGTTTCATACCCAAGTGTATAGAATCCATAATTATGTTTAGCAAATAATCCTGGTGTGTTGTTCCAGGGTATTTTCTATAATCAAACTTAATCTAGTAAGTCATTGGTGATGCTTGGGTGTTTTACACACTTGTTAATGTGAAAATGTAATTTGGCACAGTACTATGAGAAATCATTAATTTGTTTCTCTACCCCTGAAGTCATTTGTTTGGTTCTTGCTTCCTTAATTGTTCAAGTGTAACTTTTGCTGGAGGCTTGTATCTATAATGCCACAGTGAATTATTTAACATTTGAGGGAAGTACTGACTTGGGAGATTTGTAATTCACCTCCAAACTGCTGGGATTTACAATTGTTTGTGTTTTTCTCCCATAAACTTGACTTTGAGATCAGATAATGGGACCTGAGTAAATTACCTAAGGGACCAAAAGTGAGTTAGATGACCTCTATTTGTTTGGCCTAAGGATATAACTGATGGATATAACCTGTGGATATGTTTAGGAAACTTACCATTTAATGGCCAAGAGAGGCAGAAGTGAGGCTAAAATGTAATAACTACATTTTGAAAAACAGGAAAGAGAGCTACATTTATAAAATTCACTATAAACATCTACCGTAGCCTTTTGCCAACAAGGCTGTGGGCTTTAGTTTTATTCCACCAATCCTGACTTAAAAAATTGGTTGCAAAAGTGATCAATCAAACAAGTATGGCTATAATGCTGTATGGTGACAGATGGTGACTCTACCTACCATGGTGTGCACTGAGTAACGTATGGAATTGTCACATCACTGTTGTACACCTGAAACTAAAATAACATTCTATGTCAACTATACTTCCATAATAAAAAATTAATTTTTAAAACTATTACTAAATTGCCAGGTATCCCTAGCCACTCCTGAGAACATAAATAGATAACTTCCTATTATCTTAATGATAGAATATTTTTATTTTATGTACCAAAAAATCATTACAATATATAAAACATGACATTACAAAGTACAGACTTCTCTAATGTAACATAATTATTAAGTTTAAAGAAATTTAGGTGAATTTTCTTTACTAATGCTTCAGCTTTCTTGGTGGTTTTAGCAAAAATTGATCCAATTCTTTCTCGTCTACCTAACTGTTACAAACAGACCACATGTTTTCATTCTACCTTCATTGCCTGAAATTTCCCAACATCTTTTGTTAACTCTGGTAGAAGAGATTGAAACAAGTTTGCCAAACACATTTTCTTTTCCCCCTACCTATTCAGCTAGACTACCTTGCCCAGCTTTGTATATATTTATAGCACACCAGTGCCTTGGACAGAGTATTCTTTTAAATCTTTGCATGACTGAACTTCCGTAGAACATAAATGTAGTAGACCAAAATAAACATTAGAACCATACATTTTACAGTATGTGACTGTTAGAGTAGTTTAACAGGGACTGTATCTCCACAGTGACTGTACCTTATGATGTCCTTTGCAACTTCTAATTCAGGACATGAGCGGTAAAGCAGACTCTAAAGTACTCTTCATGGAACATGAAAAAGTCTCAAATTTTTGGGTTAGTTATCATGTAAAATAAGATGTAAAGTGACATTTCAAAGAAGGAAAGTATTAATGGAATATCATTTAAAAATACAAAAAAATAACACACATAGTGCTGCAGAATACTAATTTTTTCATTTTTTATCTTATTTTTAGTTTTATTTATTTATTTGAGAGAGAGAGAGTGGGGGAGGGGCAGGGGGAGAAGGAGAGAGAGAATCCTCAAGCAGACTCCCTGCTGAGCGCAGAGCCCTACATGGACCCTCAGCCAGGACTCTGAGATCGTGACCTCAGCCAGAATCATTAGAGCCAGCTTCCTAACTGACTGAGCCACCCAGGCGCCCCTAAAATTTTTTAAATCCCATCGAAAGTTTTTTTTTTTTTTAAGATTTTATTTATTTGTTAGACAGAGAGAGACACAGAGAGAGAGGGAACACAGCAGGGGGAGTGGGAGAGGGAGAAGCAGGCTTCCCGCCGAGCAGGGAGCCCGATGTGGGCCTCGATCCCAGGACCCCGGGATCATGACCTGAGCCGAAGGCAGACACTTAACGACTGAGCCACCCAGGCGCCCCATCATCAAAAGTTTATTTTGTTTTCCCTTCATATTTTGACCTATTCCTTCTTTCACGGCATTTTATTTACTCACTTCTGTTACCCGCAGTTTCCATTCTGGCATCTATATGGCTTGAAGTTTTACTGATAGGTTTTTAAACTGTTCTGAGTTTATGTTGCCTTCAACTCCATTTCCAGAGGGAGGAGAATGAGCTGCTCCTGGGGAACCAGCGTAGTGACAGTGTTCCTTCTGGGTGAAGGTGAGCTGATGAATAAGAATAAAATTATGGACTGATCATTTTCTGAATTTATTTGTAATACTGATAACAGAGGACTGTATACTTTGTGTGCTATGAAACATAGTTCAGATGATCTATTTTCTCCATGTTACCCCAGCATTCAGCATATTTCTAACACATAGATGGCAGTCAATGACTATATGATCATGGCTGATTAATAATAATAATTTTAAATTATCATTTTTAAAATTTTTATTATTATTTAATCTTCAAGCAAGGAAGACCTTCCTAAAAGGTTCCAAAACTCTGAAACTATAAACAAAAAACACATCTGACTGCACAAAAGATAATTCTTCAGTGGGAAAAAATTACCATAAAGTCAAAAGAAAATGCCAGAGTTACAAAAATATTTGCAACATACAAGCCAAAGGGCCAATTTTTAATAAACAAATCAGTTGAAGATCTTATAAATCCAGAAGATGATAAAACAACACAAACATGGACTAAAGAAATGAACAGGCTGTTCAGTGAAGAAGAATCATAGATGGTTAGTAAATAGCAGGGGAAAAAAGCTGGAATTCATCATAATGGACAAATTAAAACAAAATCACTGTCCTCCCCTGTCAGATTGGCAAAGATTAAAAAGTTTGATACCCAATGTTTGTGAGTGTGTAAGGAAGTAAGCACTTGAATGCTTTGTTAGTAGGGACATTAATTGATACAGTTACTTAGAAAATAATTTGGTACTAGCAGTTATAAACAGACCACATATTTTCGTTCTACCTTTGTTGCCTGAAATTTCCCAGCACCTCTTATTTAACTGATAAAAGAGATTGGAACAAGTTTGCCAACCACATTTTGTTTTCTTCCTGACTATTCAGCTAGACTACATTGCCCAGCTTTGGGGTAGCTATAGCATTTTTAGCTATAAATTTTATTTTAAAGCAGCCACCCTTTGATTTAGCAAAATTGCTGATGCGTTAACATAAATGCTCAAAGATGTATGTATAAGAATGCTTTTTGTAGCATAGTTTGAAAGAACAACAGCAACCCCCAAAAAGGGAAACAATCAAAGTATCCACCAATAGAGCCCATGTTGTTACTGATGCAAGGGAGTATCAAATCAGTGTTTAAAAGGATTAAGGAGGTCTGTTTGTCTGATCTGGAAAGATCTCAAAAAATCAAGACAAAAAGAAAGATGCAGAAACATATTACAGTTTGATCCCATTGGGGCTTGAGTGAGTGGACAGTGAATTTTTCTATGCATGGAAAATGCTTTAAAAGAGACACAAAGAGTTAACTGTGGTCACCCCTGGGGAGGGGCAACTGGTGGGGGGACATGGGACGAGAGACTTCGTTCATTTTATGTCCTCTTCAGTGGTCTGAATTCTTTTTAACTGTATATATGTTTTACTTACACACTTCATAAAAACTGGTAAAAGCTGGTAGTTAGCTTAGTCCTGCTATTAGAATGAGGACCCTAGAGTCCCTGGGCTGACCTGAACTTTTATCTTATGCCCTTTTTGACAAGATCAAGTAGCCTGTGAAAATGCATAAAGTATAGATTTTTTTTTTTAATAAAGCAGGAGTGAAGCAAAATGATTTACTTTCTTAGGTTTATCATCCATGTTAAAATGGACACCATCGGGGCGCCTAGGTGGCTCAGTTGGTTAACCATCTGACTCTTGGTTTTGGCTCAGGTCATGTTTTCACAGTCGTGGGATTGAGCTCCGTGTTGGGCTCTGCATTCAGCATGCAGTCTGCTTCAGATTCTCTCTCCCTCTTCCTTCCGCTCACTCTCTCTCTCCCTCTCAAATAAAGAAACAAAATCTTAAAATGGACACCATCAATTTCTTGGTACCTATGCTAATTCTTTTTTTAACTCTATTATTCAGTTGATTAATGTTAAATTAATGATTATATCCTAAGGTCATTGTTGGGCTTTAAGAACTAATTGCC